TTCGGGCGGGGGGGGGGGCGGAGGGGCGGTTGACAGCAGCTGGGCTCCCCAGCCTGTGCCAGCATGGCCCTGGGGCCATGTGCAGAGCCAGGCCGGGGTCGCCGGGCCCTGAGGAGGTTCCTGGGAGCAGAGGAACCCAGGAGTCCTGACTCCAAGAGCCATGTACTTACCTCTCACTCGGGCTCAGAACCCAGGTGTCCTGGCACCCAGCTCTGACCACTAGGCCATGCTCCCTTCCTCCTTACCCCTCCCCGCAGACGCCCCCAGAGCCACCGCTGTCCTGGGCTGCCTGGCCACCCGGCCCACAGCTCCCCTGCTGGTCTCTGAGCCAGGGGAACCAGGGAGCTGCCAGAGGCTGGCGCCTGGAGGAGCGGTCCTACGCCCGCCCCCCCGCCCCCCGGCTCTTTCCATCCCTTTTAGAAAACCCACTGGTGGAACAAACAGGGATTTCCGGGCTGGCCACCGGCGCAGGCTCAGCGGATTCCCGGCCCCAGGGAGGGTCACACTGTGGGGCAGGCAGGGAAGGCCCGCCCCATGTTGAGCCGAAAGCCCCCAGTTCCCCACTGGGTCTGGGGGGGGGTGGGACCAGAAGGCCCCGCTCTTTGCTCCAGCTGGGCCAGTTCCCAGGGGTCCCGCTGTAGATAAATCTCTGCATGAAGCTTTCCTGGGACTTTGTACGATGCCTCTATTTGCCTACAGCTTTGTACCAGATCCTTCTTTAGAAACCCCTGTATTGAGCCTTGGGCTCCTGTGAAACATGGCTTTTTGCCCCCCCCCCCCCCGCCCCCACACCCCCGGGAATCAATTGCCCTGTTGAATGACCACGGTCTGGATGAGGAAGGCAGCACCTCCAGCCAGCTGCTCCCCTTGGAGAGGGGACGGGAGCCAGACCCAAGGCCAATAACACATGGCCAGGGGGCTCACTGAGGCAGAGCAGACCCATTGACGGCCTTGGGGGTTAGGAGCGAGCCCCTGCTTTTGGGAACCCCCTTCGCAGCATGGGGACAACCCCCAGAGGGGAGCAGCACAAAGGACCAAGGGCCACAGACCCAGATTTGCAGGAGAGGGAAGCTGCTATAATTGTGAGGGGTCTTGCACTGGACCCTGGGTCTCGTCTTGTCAACGTGGAGCATCGAACCGGCTCCACCCTCCCCCATCTAACTCACCTGGCCAGTGCAGTCCAGGGGAGCAACTCGCCCGTAACAATGGAGAGTGTTTGAGTGTGTGTGAGTGCA